CATGTGGATATGGATATGAGTAGGTAGCAGTCCTGACATGCAATACATTATCACATGTAGGCGAAAGTTGGTTAGTTTTAGTCATCTACATGTTGTTCCGTAAAAATCTGCCCTGCATTCAGATTACCATCTTCAATTGGACATTGTGTGTTTTTCTGTGTGTTAACGAAAGGACTTTATCAATCATTAATGCTCTCACTGGAGACCTTGCCTAGTTTCTTATACAAGCTTAGTCAGTGATAACAAAATACCTTAACAGCCTCTCTGGAGTGGCAGCACCTGGCAATCCCAATACAAAGCTCAAAGGGCAAACACTGCTGAATTCCTTAACGGTGTCTCTGCCTGATTGTTTGCCTCTTTTCGTGGGAGCTACTGATGTGAAATTACATCTGATAAAGAGCAATTTCTCCCAACTCCAGGTCAGAAAGAACTATTTGCTGCTTAAAGTGATTGTGGCCCACTAAGTGGTTCTTAAAGAGTTTGATTTACTTAATCTAAAACAGAACACATTTTTAAAACTTCGGTTCACAAATTCAAAGGTTTTATCAGAAGTTGATGAAAGGGATAAATTAATGGCAGATTTAGATCTAAGGAATGCTTCAGCCTACTTTGGGTTTGTATGGGAATGAAATTTTAACACTGGGAAGAAAAAAGATCAGAAACGTGGACTGCTCTCAATGAGACTTATGAACTGTTCAGTCTCTTGATGGGAAAGTTGTAACTCCTGAAAACTTTTCTCTCAACTGCAGCAAACATGGAGTGTAAATATAGCAAAATCAAGATAAAACACACAAGGGATACAGAGTCACAGCTTTGCTGAATGTATTCCTTCACAAGAGAAGAAACTTATTGATGTGTCATGTTTTCTTTGCTCTTTTAAGAAAAACCCAACATTGCTGAACGGCAACACTTTTGGGAATATGACTGAGATTAAAGGAGAAACCTTTCAGCTTTCCTTTCATTTAGAGACCTTGTGATCAGAGCTGGAATGTAAACTATTTACTCCCTGTCGTATTTTTTGTGGTGCCTGGTTTAAAATAGCGTTGGCATGCTTATCCAGCAAATATTTAGGATTCAAGCATGCCTTCATGACGTTCTAGGCACATATTTACATCAAATTCCCTATAACAATCCAGGTAAAATTTAGTATATATGAGGAACCTTGACTTTGAGTGCTCTTCTTTCTTCAGCATTATCATTCCTTCCTGGTATTCACTGCTTCAGTTGCTTTAACAAGAAACTTGAAT